GCAGGAAGGCAGCGCCTCAGTCAGGCCCGATTTATGCCTCTTTATCTGACTGCCAGACTTGTCTCTTGCTGTGTTTAAGTGAATCTGTCAACCGTGTCTCACAGTTCTTCATCTTAGTCCATTTTTTAGGTGTTATCTATGCTATTGCTCCAGAATTTTCTTTTAAAAAGTTAAACATACAGAGGAGAAACGAAGGTTTCAGAGAGTGGAACTAGTATTTTTAAGCACTTGTTTGGTGCCTTTCCAGTTTAATTCTGTAGACATCAATAAATTCTGATAATGTGCTAGCGCAGCACCATATAATAAATATTTTTCACTTACAGTATTTTATTGACTCTTACTTTACCCCAAAGAAGTAGGTGTTCTTATTTCTATTTTAAAGATAATTAAACTGAGGTTCAAAAAGGCTAAACGCGTGATAGAATTGGATCTGAACCTAGGTAGGCCTGAGTCCTAAGACTATGTCTTGATCATTACTCTGTTTTCGTGTTTGCTGTCACCATCCTCCTGCCTCCTCCTCCCCGCTGGGACTGCAAGGGCAGGACAGGATGCCTAGGCTTTAGGTTGGACCAGGAATTGAACCCTGGCCTCCCAAGTGGCCCCAGTCTACGAAGCACAGCATCTTAGCAGTTCACGCCACCTTGACTGAGCATATCATTCTGTGCTGCTTCTACATAAGCAAATTCGTTATTTATTAACTTGTCTAGAGGAAGAGAAATACCTTGGTCATTAAAACGCCTTTGAAACTCAATTTTCAGCTCAATTAGCAAGAGATTCGACAGATGGTTTTGTTTGTCTTTGTGTAGGTATATGGCCATTATCGATCCCTTGAAGCCCAGACTGTCTGCGACGGCCACCAAGATTGTCATTGCAAGTATCTGGATTCTGGCATTTCTGCTTGCCTTTCCGCAGTGTCTTTACTCGAAAACCAAAGTCATGCCAGGCCGCACTCTTTGCTACGTGCAGTGGCCGGAAGGTCCCAAACAACATTTCACGTAAGTTCATTCTCTGTTACAATTTTTTATTCTATTTATCAAATATTTAAAGTAGGGAGCAAAAATTAAGCAAATAAAGCACAGACATTTTCCTCAAGGGTTCAGAAAGAGACTTGGGAAAGAGACATTTGAAAACACTACCATGCAAGGGCCAGCAGATGGTATGGTGGTTAAGGTGCTGGTTACTCCCACATGGCTGACCACAGTTCGATTCCTGCACCTGGTGGCTTGCTTTCTCACTTTTTTCTCTTTCTCTGTGTGTCTCTCTCTCTCTCATCAAATTAAAATAAATTAAATAAATAATACTTCTTTAAAAAAAAAAAAAAGAAAGAAAGAAAGAAAGAAAATGCTATCATACAGTATGTCATGGTGATTGAAAATGTGTTGGGGCAGCACGGGAGAGGTTCCTGGAGGAAGCGGTGAGGTCATGGAGAAGACAATGCACAAAGGAAAGCAGGGCTGACGCTAAGAGTGAGACGGGAGGAGCTAGTGTCCGAAGGTGTTCGCTGCTCCTTTACAAAGCCTGCCTGCGGGAAGGGGCATTCCGACAGGCTCTTTAATTGTGTTTTGGTTTGACTGATGTTCATTTGAGATTATAGAAAATTGAACACTAGATTGGAAAGAAGAAAAGCAAAAGGGGAAAAAAACATAATTGTACTATTGATTACATTTATATTTTATTATTATGGTCATTTAAATCTTATCTCAATAAAATATGTTTTCCTATTATAGGGATCTATTTTCCCTTTAAAAGTAACAAATCACAGAGCAAGCTGGTGGTGTGGTGGTGAAGGTGCTAGACTCCCGCATGGCCAGCCACGATTTACGCCCAGACCCAGTGGCTTGAAAATCACGCCAGCATATGTCCATGCATGCCCCAAGTCCCAGGAGTAAAATGGAGGAGAAGGGATTGTGGTGTGGCCATCCCTCTTGGGAGTGATTTCTCACTTTCCCTCTCTCTGTCTCTCTCCATCTCTCTCTAGCAAGGGCATGTGTCCTATGACAAAAACCTAAAAAATAAATAAAATAACAAATCATGTAAATAATGGTCATCTCTTAAAGCAGCCATTTTATCTAACTGTTCTGTCTAGAGTCCAGATGTTTGAAGACAAATCTTAGAAACACTTACTGAGAGAAAATAAAGCAGCAATTATTAAACTAAGTACTGTCATCTATCCATTTTTATACTTTCTAATTTACATATCACAGCTGTACATATTTACAAATACAATACAGCTTTTTCAAGGTGTGTGTATTGATTAAATCAAGGCAATGAACATATCCACTATTTCAAGTGTTCTGCCCATCCATTTTCATTTGCCAGAGGGCACAAGTGCTCATGGAGAGACACAGAGAAACAGAAAGTGAGAGCGCACCCCCCATGGGGTACAGTCGGCCACAATGCCTTCTCCTCCATTTCTCCCTCCTTTCGGGATTTGGACACATGTACAAGCACCCAGTGTGTTTTTCGAGCTGCCGGGTCTGGAACTCCAGTCATGCTGTCAGCCATGTGGGATCCAGCTGCCTCAACGCCACTGGCTGGCTACATTCATTTGAATACTTGTAGTGGAATGACAATGTTATTATCTTTAAGTTATTCATTAGCTGAATTACTTCTCTATTGGCTCTAAATTAGTATTTCGTAAACTACTCAAAAATTGGAAAGCAAAGAGGTTTAAGATTCACTTCACAAAAGAAAATAAAAACCGGTGTCAAGAAGTCTATGGTAATCAACTTTAATAACTTTAAAGCCGGGGCCAGCGGGTGGCATGGTGGTTAATGGTGCTGGACTCCCACATGGCCAACCGCGGTTTGCGTCCTGGACCTGGATGACTGCTTTCTCACTTTCCTTCTCACTCTCTCTCTGGTCCTCTATGGTCAAATTAAAATAAATAAAGTTAAATAAGGTAGCTCTCTAAGAAAATAACTTTAAAACCTTTCCTAAGACAGTGGAAGTCTCATAAAGTTTGCAGAATTCTATTTGAGCAGTTACATTATGGGTTGCTCTCCTGGTCCCCCCTAGCTTTATCATTTTGGTTTACAACTATGAAATCCCAAAATTTCATTTAATAATATACTGTATCATGCTTTGGTGTGACTAACATGTCTGTATGTTATTTACCAAGTTAACAAGGCAATCAAAGCACCATGATTTTGAAAATGCATGTTAAATGTCTTGATTTTTTTGAAATCACAGTCAAAAAACTTTTGGATTCAATATGGCTCAGAGTATCTACTTATTTTTTTTTCTAATTTGGATAAAAATAGTTTATTTCAATTATGTCTGAATTCACAGAGATATGTAGAATAACCCCACATAGAAGAAAACACAGTTCGGTTCATTAGTTTGTCCTGGCCCATCCCTTTTTCTCTGATGGCATGTTTAATTAGTTTAGCTCAACAATTAGCAAGCAGAGGGAACCAGCAGTTAGTGTAATGGCTATGTCGCTGGACTCCCACGTAGGCGACCGCAGTTCGCGTCCCAGACCCGGTGTCTTAAAACTCAAGCCGGGCGCGTGTGCGTGCGTGCCCAAGATCCCAAGAGGAGAATGGAGGAGAAGGGATTGCGGCGTGACCATCCCCCCTGGGGGGTGATTTCTCACTTTCTGTCTCTATGTCTCTCTCTGTCTGTCTGGTGAGCTCACACACCCTGTAGTGAAAACCTCTAAAAAAAAAAAAAAAAAAAGAAGAAGAACAACAATTAGCAAGCAGAGTACCAAGCAGAGGAAAGGTATTCTCCTCCACCTCTACACAGGGGAGTGTGTAGCTTAAATGAGCACTTTCATGCAGCTAGGTGTCTGTACACATAGTGAAGACTGAAGGAGACCAGCTGGCAACCTTTGAAACACGACTATAGGTGACAAGAGTCTGATATTTTGATGGAATTGTGAAATGAAGACATAATGTGGAAATACACATTGCATTCTCTCTCTCTCTCTCTCTCTCTCTCAGAGAGAAATATTTTTGCTATAAGGTGTGTGTGCTCACCAGAAAAAGAGACAGAGAGACAGAAAGTGAGAAATCATCCCCCAGGTGGGATGGCCATGCCATAATTCCTCCTCCTCCATTCTCCTCTCAGGATTTTGAGTATGCATGCACACGTGCCCGGCCTGAGTTTTAAGCCACTGTGTTGACCACATGGGTGTCCAGCGATGTAACCATTACGCCATCTTCTGGTCCCGCTTCACATTTTCAATTCCGATGTAAAGCAAACCAAAATCAAAGTCCCCTGTATTTCGGCATGTGTCAGCATGGTGTGTTTCTTCCATCTTGCAGGTACCACATGATCGTCATTATCCTGGTGTACTGTTTCCCGTTGCTCATCATGGGTATCACGTACACCATCGTGGGCATCACTCTCTGGGGAGGCGAGATCCCAGGCGATACCTCTGACAAGTACCACGAACAGCTGAAGGCTAAGAGGAAGGTACTGCCGTGTCACCTAGGTAGTACTTGCGCACACTGTGGCACACCACAGAGGAAAATCCTACTCGTGGCATTGTAATATACTGTGACCTGGTGTTCTGCTACTACTTTTTAAGTTTACTTATTTATTTCTTCCACGAAAAGGAGAGAGTGAAATACACTTCCAACAGGGTCTTCATGCCTTAATGCAACCCACGCCTCCTCCAGCAAAGATCGTTGGTATTTGCCTATGTGGCTTTCATGTCGCAGTGTCACATTACTGCTATACCTGGAATCTGGTCTCCTACATTTTTGTTTTTAGATTTTTGCCATAGAGCCTGCATTGACAGAGGAAGAAAGAAAGAGAGGGCAGTGAGAAATCACCCCTCCCCCTCAGGGGGATGGCCATGCTGCAATCCCTTCTCCTCCTGCAACCCCTTCTCCTCCATTCTTCTCTTGGGATTTTGGGTATGCACATGTGCCAGTGTGCTTTTCAAATCAGTGTGTCTGGAACCTGAACCATGGAGTCGGCCATGCGGGATCCAGTGCCTTAACCACCATGCCACCCCATGGCCCTCCTACCTTTTTAAATATCTTTTCTTTGTTCTTAAATTTTTATTTTACATATAAAGAAGATTATGATGATGATAATAATAAATAAATAAATAAATAAATAAATAAATAAATAATTTTATTTTACCACAAGACAATGCCCATGTACAGTATCAGTCTGTGATTTTAAAAAAGTTTCTTCCTTACAACAGGACTTTTTTTAAATCATCTTTCACAGAGTATCTCAATGTCTTTATCTGAAATTTAACTCTAAATGAAGTCCCAATTAATTATATTTCTGTGACTATAGCTATCTTTGTCCTTTATTGAACAGAATGAGGGATGTGCCCTAATATACCCAAAGCTTCTCTTATCTCAGAAGAATAGCTCTTCAAAATGTGCTCTAATTCCCTAATATCAGTTCATCGCTCTTCCATTCCTATGGCTCTCTCTCTCTTCTCCCTGAACACCATCATATATGTCTGAATAAGGGACTAAAAATGTATTAATACTATTCTATAATATTAAGAGTGACATGAAAAGAAAATCTCTACAAATACTATATTGGCATTTTAGTAGGGTTTTATTAATATTTTTTCTGACTACCATTAAGTGACTCAATGAGTAAGATTTTTCATGTATTTGTGAAACTAAAAGGACATTCCCTTCTCCCCAGTTGATATGTACTGAATGTATCTTAGATTTTTTTCAAGGATAAGTGAGTCCCACTGATTATGCCAATCATTTTTACTTGTTCCATTTATGATTAATTTACTTATGTAAAACAATGACTGGCCACATGAACATTTCCTTTAAAAACCACTCAGCAGTCTTAAAACTACTTAACTATAAACACTCACTTAACAATTATCAAACAGGTTTTTAAACTGTAATGCAGATAATGGATTTCCTTTTCATACTGTTTTTTCTGACATTGACAAATAATGAACAAGATTTATGTATAGTCAACATTTACCGTGGCCTGTGGCATTTAAAACAAAAAGTAAGCACGGTCTTTTCCACATCAGTTTCCTCCTTTCAGGTGGCATACTAGATGTCTGAAATATATACATAATTTTACTTCACTTGCAGGAAATTCGCCTTTAGCACCTATAAAAAAAATCCTAAAACTAGGATAACTTCTCTAACATAGTCATATTATATAAACAGTTTCTCTCTCTCATTTGTAATTTCAACCCTCTTTTTCTAACATCTTGCTTATATTGCAAGACGCCCTTTTCTCTGTGAGATAATTTCTTGTAACTACGTTTTCTTTTCATTTCTTTTTTTAAGGTTTTTGCCATAGAGTGTGTGTGCTTACCAAAGAAACACTAAGAGACAGTGAAAGGGAGAGTGAGGGGAGATGGCCATGCCATAATCCCTTCTCCTGCATCCTACTCTTGGGATTTGGGGTATGCATGCACATGCGCCCAGCATGATTTTCAAGCCTCTGGGTCTGTGTCTTGAACTGTGGTCGGCATGTGGGAGTCTAGTGCCATAACCACTCCACCACCTGCAGGCCCCTGTAACTGTGTTTTGATATGATCACATTAAACAATCGACATGGGCCAGCGCATGCCTGTTAGTTAATGCAGCTGGATCTCATATGGTTCACCACGTGGTTCAAGACCCAGACTCGGCAGCTTAAGAAACACATTAGGCATATGTGTGCATGCTCAAAATCCCGAAAGGAAGGAGGGATGGAGGAGAAGGGACTGTAGTGTGATTCTGCTCCATGAGGGGTGCGTTCCCACCTTCCCTCTCTCTCTTTCTCTGGCCAGTGCACATGTTCCGTGTATTTCAGAATAATTTTTACCTTTATCTGACCTACTTAGTTTCCTATCTTTTCTTTCTTTCTCACTGGTTTATATATTTTTTCCATTTTTATATGTTCCCTTTCACTCCTATATAAATTAAAATAAGTTGAGTTATTTGTAGATTATACTTCTTTTTTCTTTACATATATGTAATATTTTTCTAGGAATAAATAAAGGTTTAAGTTGGATACTCCTTTCGTTTTTTTAATTTAGAGTCCCAAAGGAAACAAAAGCAAGAGGGGATTTTTTTTTTTTAACTTTGGTACTATATAACTGAGGAGAATAGGCACAAATATTCCCTTTTCATTTCATAACTCTACAATTTCAAAGCAGAAATTTCAACTCAAACTTGGAGTATGGCCCAAGTAAGATATTTCAAAGTCCCAGTCTATATGTTTTTCTCTTGGATTATCTTCTGGCCTGTTATACTAGAAAACACCATGTCCTGGGATTTCTTTCATTGTTATGTACTGATATGGCCATTAGTATCTAGGTGGGAATATTCATTTTGTCTGAAATTAAAATTTAAAAATATACTTAGCTGCTATTCTAGAATGACAGATCTGATAAGAACCTGAAATATCATGAATTGCTTACCCTCCTGCTCTTCTGAACTAAAATTAAATGCAGTCTAAGTTAGAAATGAGGAGAGGGGCTATCGGGTCTTATTTAGGATGTTTTAGCAAAAGAAATTAAATACGCTCCTTAATTTTTTTTAATATTGCCAACATCACCCTGTTTCCATGAGTATCTCTAAGTAAAAAAATCATAAACATTGCCTCAAAGTAATGTGTAATGCTTAGTAGTGATAGACGTTTATGTGTAACTAAATCCATATGGCTACAAGCCGAACTCATTCACTTTGGAAACGACTTGCTGCCTATCTCTACCAGATAGTCTTTTGATAAGTGAAGACCACTTCTTTCTTACCAATTAGGTCAGAAAAAGAAAAAACAAAGTTAGTAAAATTCTCCTATACATGATTTTAAAGTTCTTGGCAATGACAAAATACAACCCAAACTATATGTGTGACATAGGTGTATCTCTGCTGGTATTTTGCAATTTACAATCAAATATAAATGCTAAGCCAGTAAATACCAAGTTGGGAAGAAAATATATTATATTGATTAATGAATATATGAACTGAACATAAAACAGTTAGTGAATACTTTAAATATTATAATTATCAAATGCATCTATAATAAAAAGAAGTGGTGGCTAGCCATAGAATGGAAAAAAATAAGAATAGTGAGGTCAACTCCAATTCATCATCAAAGATTTTTTATTTAAAGAAAAATGTTTTTGTGGGACCAGCAGATGGCATAGCAGTTATGTCGCTGGACTCCTGCATGGCCGACTGCAGTTTGGTCCTGGACCCAGTGACTTCAAAATCACACTGGGCACATGTGCACGTGTGCCCAAGATCCTGGGAGGACAATGGAGAAGGGATTGCGGCATAATTGTCTTGCCAGGGAGTGATTTCTCACTTTGTCTGTCTGTCTCTCTCTCTCTCTCTTTCTCCCTCCCTGCCCCCCCCCTCTCTCTCACATGCCCTAAGGCAAAAACCTTTTTAAAAAATGTTTTTGTGAAAAGACTATATAGGCCAAGTCTCTCTGAATTCAGGAAAACTGTTTTCCAGTCCTGCAATATCCTTGTGTGTTGTAAAGAAAAGGGACTAGTTGCACCTCGCCCTGGGATTTCTTTCATAGTCATTTACTGGTATGGCCATCAGTATCTAGGTGGGAGTATCCATTTTGTCTAAAATTAAAATGTAAAAATATAATTTTCTTCTATTTTAGAATGACAGATCTGATAAGAACTTTGAATTAACATTGGCTGAGGGCAGGCATTCATGTATACTGAAAAAGAGAAAAATCTCCATATGGATGCAGAGGTCTAAGGGCATTATATTTCCTTTTTCTTGTATCATTTTGTACATTTTTTCAATAGAAAGAATCTAAAATAAGATGCAAAACTCATCCAGACATTGGTATTTGATTCTCATTTTTCTCCTTTTAATTAATTGGGAATTTGTGAGAGCCATTCTAGATTTTATCAAGATTCATAGCCAAAATAAAGATAAAAGTAAGGGCCATGGAGGTGGCCTGGTGGTTCAGGCAGCTGAATTCCACATGGTCAACTGTGCGGTTTGAGTCCCAGACCTGCTGGCTTGGAAGAACATGCTGTGCATGTGTGCATGGGTGCCCAAAACCCTGAGAGGAGAATGAAGGGGGTTGCCAGTGTGGTCACCCCCTGTGGTGCTCTCTCTCTGGAAAGTATGTACACCCTTTAGCAAGCAAAAATAAATTTAAAAATTTTAAAAAGAAGAAGAAAAGTTTCCAAGTGCCCTTAAATTTTCTATGCATTAATTGTAACAAGAAATATAAATCACTAATTTTCTGTGTGTACATTTAAGCACAGTAACAGCAGCAGCAATTACGGGGGGGGGGG